GCTGGCGATTGCAGAGCCGGCGGGACACCGGGAGGGGGACGGGGCTGTGAGGCCACGGCGGCAGCCCCGCGCCCGGCCCGCCGTGCGCTCCCGCTCCTCCGGGAGCCGCAGCCTCGGGAGCAGGGCGCACGCAGCCAGCCAGCGTAAATCTGCATCACGGCTTATGTAACACCGCTGATTTATTCATGTCTGAACCGGGCACTGGCCTAGAAATTAGCTCCGGTGGTGCCGGGGAGGGGAGGAAGGGCCGGCCCCGCCGGGCCGTGCGACGGGAGCTGGGTGCGGGACATGTGGGTACGGAAGCACGTTACAAATCCCCGTTTTACCTGTGCAGCCCCCGGCCCCGGCGCGGGGTCCTGGGTGCCGATCGCGCCCCGAGGAGCAGGGCCTGGCTGGGGGCTCCGCTTCACCCTGCGCTCACGGGGGACCGAATGCCCTGGGCCGGGTGGCACCCGGGCCCGGCTCCCTCGCCTTTTCCCACGCCGGATTTCACAGGATTAATTGATTTCACAGGAATGCTTCCAGCTCCAGCGGCGGCAGCTCCCGGCGACACTGCAGGGACAAAGGAGCTGGCGCTGCCGTTCCCGGAGTCCCAGGGCAGCAAGAGAGTCCTCCCTGCTCCAGCGGGAAAGCAAGGCATGGGGCAGGACGAGACCTGGCAAAACTCATTGCAATCACTGCTTGGGTCCCCAGCGCTGCCCCGGGGGCTGTCCGTGGGCTTTGGGGGGACACCCTGGCACTGCAGAGGACAGTTCTGCTCCTCCTGCGTGCCCAGCGGCCTGGGGGGAATCACGACCCCGTCCTGCCCGTGTAGAGGTGCAGGAGGCCGCTGCGCTGCAGCCGCTGCCACAGCTGCATCTCCTTCCTCAGGTCGTGGTTGGCGAAGAACTGCACCCGCTTGCGCGTGCGGTCGAAGTAGTGGTCCGAGTAGGCCTGGTAGTTGGGCGTCAGGAAGCCAAAGGCGCTCACCTGCGTGACACGGGACACGCGGCTGCACGGGGACACACAGCTGCATGGGGACATGCGGCTGTATGGGGACATGAGGCTGCACAGGGACCTCCCCGGGAGGAAACAGGTGCCTATGTCCAGCGCTCAGTGCCCTGCGCTCTATGCACTGTGCACCACATACCATGCACCGTGCCTCATGCACCCTGTACCCTGCACCGTGTTCCCTGCATCGTACCCCATGTGCCGTGCCCTATGCACCCTGTACTCTGCACCATACACCACGCCTCATGCACCCTGTACCATGCACCGTGCTGCATGCACCCTGTACCCTGCACCGTGTCCCCTGCACCATGCCCCATGCACTGTGCCCCATGCACCCTGTACCATGCACCGTGCCCCATGCATCCTGTACCATGCACCGTGCCCCATGCACCCTGTACCCTGCACCATGCCCCATGCACCGTGCCCCATGCACCCTGTACCCTGTACCATGCACCGTGCCCCATGCACCCTGTACCCTGCACCGTGTTCCCTGCATCGTACCCCATGTGCTGTGCCCTATGCACCCTGTACCCTGCACCCTGTCCCCTGCACCAGCGCGCGCACGGCGGGGGCGCAGGCCCCAAGGCCCCGTGCCGGCGCGGGCGGCTACCTCGTCGCAGGTGTGCAGGGCGGCCAGGAGCATCACGGCGCCCGTGGAGGGCCGGTACAGCGCGTGCCGCGGCGTGGCCAAGATGTCGGCCCACAGGAACCTGGCAGGGCAAGCGGGAGGCTGAGGATGCTCCCTCTGTTGCTAGGGAATATCCATAGCGACCGCATCCGCCCCGCGGGGCCCGGCTGCGGGAGGGGGAACACGGGCGCCCGCCCCGTCCTCACCGGTTCCGCACATAGCGCACGAAGTCCGGGTGCAGCATCTTGAACTTGGCCGCCGGCAGCTCCTCTCCGAAGAGCTCCTGGGGCCTGCGAGGAGGCGGCTGCAGGGAGTGGGGGACACGGGGACGCC